TACAGATTTTCATAAATATTATATAAATAAAAAATTAATATAGCATAGAAAGTTAAACTTATTTAAATATGTTTGCTTCTTTTAAGTCGAGAAAAATAACTTTGAAATTTGAACTAGCTTAAATGGCCAATTTTTTCAGCCGACGGTATCAATGTACGGTTACCGAGTTGGTAAAACTTATGTTTACACGCTTGGGGTACAAGGTTCCAACTCGCGTATGGCAATGAACTTTTTGCATTTTTTCTTAATTTTTTTTAAGTTAGTATAAATTTTTAACTCGTTTGATTTTTATTTCATTTAGATTCAATAACNGTTTGATTTTTATCTCATTTAGATTCAATAACTTCAATAAAGATCAAGGATCCCATCACTTTAGTCGCCCCTTGCAAGAAGAAATTTCTTATTCGTATTAAAATTATTTTACTATATTTTAAGTTTTNACTCATATTAAAATTATTTTACTATATTTTAAGTTTTAGCTTCGATGCAAAGCTGAGAAAATGTTTTTTTGTGACTATCATTTATTTTCTTTGCTCTAACTTGACCTACTTTTTTCAACGATACGTCAAATGACTACAATTCGTATCTAGTTGAAGATATTACCCTCAAAAATTGAAAAAAAAATTCAATTTATCAATTAAACTGTTAGTTATTCCATGTTCTCCATAAAGACAATTAAAATCATTCATTTCTAATATTTTCAAAGTATTTATTGACGAATTAAGTTTGATATGATAGGTTTCAACTACAAAATTTAATCATGTTACTTTGTAATTTAATAATTTTTTTACTCTATTTGTGTGTGCTATTACTAGACTATAATATTACAAATTTTTTTGTAACATGTTGCTATATAAATCATTTCTAAAAAAAATGATGTTTTTTCTCCTGTTTTTTTTATATGTAAATACTATTTTNTTCTCCTGAATTAACGATGGATTTTTACAAATATAACCAAATTTTATAATACGCTCAATTGAGTAAATCTTTTTAACAACTTTGTTTTGATTGGTACATTTAATTAAAGTAAATCATTAAAATTAATTAAGTTCTCAATATTTCAATTATAGAATCTTTTCAACAAACAACAAAAGTTCCNTTAATTGTAGAATCTTTTCTACAAACAACAAAAGTTTCTAGGAAATTATTACTATTACTTCTATTTAAGTTATCTATTACCATAAAAATGCAAAAAAATATTGAGCTTTTCTGATAAATTTACAATAAATAGTAATTATAAAACTTTCTGACTGCATATTGATCTTAACGATACAATTTTTTTAATTGTCATAAAATTTTCTATTTAATTATGTCAATGTCAAACTTACCAATTGAGCTAAAAGTTATGGTAAAATAAATTTTTTTTTTTATTATAAACATTAACAACAATCAACTTTAAACGATTAAAAAAATAGGTTAAATATGTCATTTTCCTTTTTTTTAACTTATTAATAATCAAAATCAGTATTAATTTAAAACAATTTTTTTTGTTCTTAATTATTTTTTAGCTTTGATGCGAAGCTGAGAAGGTATTAATTTTACCATGATGTGTTTATTTTTTTTTTTATTTTTTTTTTTTATTTTTTATTTTTTT